CTGCCCACCCTGAACATCATCACCATGAACACCATGAACACCCTCACCATGAACGCCCTGAACACACTGAACACCCTCACCATGAACACCCTGAACACACTGAACACCCTCACCATGAACGCCCTGAACACACTGAACACTCTCACCATGAACACCCTGAACACACTGACCACTCTCACCATGAACACACTAAATGGATCCTCCTCGTTCTTCCTAAACTGAAAGGTCTGTCTCCCGCGTGTTTTAAAGCCGGAGATTTTTGTCAGGTGTTTAATTAACCGAACTGGTAACTGTAAATTATTCGTTACGCAATAATACGTAAGTATTAGATTACTAATATGATAAGTATGATACTAATATAATATTTATATACAGTCGTATTATGAGTAAGTATACTATAGTTGTAGCCTGTCGGACCGAGATGGCGAGTATTTCCGCCTGGTCGACAGAAGCCGCTCACTCCTAGAAGTATCGGCTTGCCGACTGAGGCGCGCACAGTAATGTCTTTTAAAAACAGAACGCTCCATGATCACCGGCTGGCGCTCTATAATTTATACGTGCTGATTACCACGTGTGATTCATCAGGCAATTAAGGCACATCGCTTAATTACACGCGCCTGTAATTCACAGGGAAAAATTGTTTACTTACCACATCAGCTTTAGAATGTTCGCGAACAAATATTCGTTATTCGTATGAGACTGAATCAAATTGGAGTAAATTAAATGCACCATTGATCACGATCACAATTAATATACACTTCAACTCAAATTACAGCGAATATGGTGTTATAATGACGTATAAATACAAATATTCGTATATGTAGTATATCTATAGTCAGTGCCGTAGCGTAGATGTGAGGGGGGGTCGGAGATTTCCCCCCCCCCGAGCCAAAAAAGAAAAAAATGGCAAAAAAAAGGTCCGCGATCCCGATGTGCTGCAGTGTGTGTAATAAATTAACCAACAATTTGCAAGGGAAGATTTTACGGAAAAAAGGGAAAATACGGAGAGCAGGGCGGGGGGCGGAGCCCAGTCGCTGCACGGCTCTGGATATTGACTGCATGCAACCGCGCTCGCGCTGTGCCACAACCAATGCTGCTGCAACCACAGAAAGGTACTGTCGGATCTAGCGGCGAAAGGAGAGAAGTGCGTGACCGCTGATGTGACAATTCTTCAATTTTAAGTCGTCTTTTTCCGCACTTCACGGAAGCAAAGCAGTGGCAAGTCTGTGAAAATTGAATTGATATGTTTGATATTCGTATCTTGTCTGATATTCAAATTCCTTGCTGCCATGCCCCCCCCCGAGAGTTTCCTCATTTGAATAATACTCACCTTTTTTTTCCATTTTGGAAAATTTGGCAGAAGAATTTCACTTCGGGTATGCACCAGATCGCTCATTTTAGATGTAATAAATTGCAAAAAGCTCCCTCGTGTGGGTCGCTCTCTCGTCTGCTCTCATCTGCTCGCTCTCCTCTCGTCTCTCTCTCTCTCTCTCTCTCTGCTTCTCTCCTCTCTCTCATCTCTCTTTCTCTGCTCTCTCTCTCTCCTCTGCTACTTTCTCCTCTCTCTCTCGTGCGTGTGTGTGTGTGTGTGTGTGTGTGTGTGGGTGTGTGTGTGTGTGTGTGTGTGTGTGTGTGTGTGTGTGTGTGTGTGTGTGTGTGTGTGTGTGTTCATCTGTACAGCAGTAAACTTCAAACTATCAGCTTTCGCTGCTTAGAAGCAGATGTAAGGCAGACTTAGTCAGGGTTTTTATGCGACCAATCCACACAGGATATAGCTAGCCGTCTCCTATTCTACAGCATGGTAATACCACTAGTGCTCTAGCTAGTTGTGTTATTATAACCGTCAAGAAACCATTTTATTTCTGATCTATTTTTGTCGTTGTGTTCATGTACCCAATACCCACGTAGACGTTCGAAAAGAATAGAACCTATTGAACATATCCGTATTAGTTTAGTATAATTTAGTATAATAGTTTTTCCGCTCGTCTCTAACGCTCGTTCGCTCAAATTATGTAGGCATATATTCCATACTAAACATGGTTTTTATTTGATAGACATAGCTTTCAAATGACCCCATCACATAAAATAATTGCAGATAATATTGATATATAATTATGTTTTTTTATGTAAAAAAGTAAGATAAAAAACGATAGCTAATCAAAAAGTAGTTTATATTTGGCGGTAGTTTATATGACATTTTTTTACTAGCTGATGTGTTTAAAATAATTACATCATGTAACACAAATAGATTACCTATATAATAATTAAAGACGCATAACGTCAAACTCACAATTATAAATATAGTATAATTTCTATTAATATAGACAATCAACAATTATACATATTTCTTACCGCACATTGCTCGCAGCACCTAAAAGGCACAAGCTTCCACAGCCTGTACGTATCCTCGCAGTATCCGAGAGTTTTCACAGCAGCACCGTGCGTGTATCCGCGATCACTGAGAGTTGGCCCCGACAACAGTTATTGTATTTCCCCCGCT